AAGAAATTGGGAAACAATTCCATTTGCAGCAGCTAGAAACAAACAAACAAGTATTAACATAACAAAGGAAGTGAAATACCTCTATAGTGAAAACTATAGTACTCTGAGAAAAGAGATTGAAGATGTTAGAAAATGGAAAGATAGGCAAAGCCACTATTGTCAAAATGGCCCTATTACCAAAAATAATACATAGATTTAATGTAGTTCCAATTGAAATACCAACAGCAATCTTTACAGAGGTAGAGAAAACAATCTTAAAATTCATATTGAGCCAGAAGAGACCCAGAATAGCAAAAGCAATCCTGGTTAACAAGAGCAAAGCAGCAAACATCACAATCCCGGATTTCAAGTTATATTACAGAGCCACAGTAACAAAAGCAGCACAGTACTGGCACAAACACAAATGTGAGGATCAAGGCAACAGAACTGAAAATGAAGAAAAAAACCCAGGCACATTCAGTTATCTGAGTTTTGACCAAGGGGCCAAAAACATGTGCTGAAGGAAAGAGATAGCCTCTTTAGCAAAGGGTTCTGGAAAAACTGGCTATTCACATGCAGAAGAATGACTCTAGATCCATATCTCTCAACTTGTCTCAAATAAAATCGAAATAGATGAAAGAACTAAGTGTTAAAACAAGCACTGCTGGAAAATAAAAAAGGTAAAAGTCTTAAAGACATAGGCATAGGCAAAGGCATTCTGCACAGAACCCTAATCACACAAGGAATAATACAAATAATCAACTAATTAAAAAGCATGCAGAGTAAAGGAAACAACCAATGGAGTGAAAAGATAATGGGAAAAAAATCTTCCAGCTATTCCTTGAACAAAGCACTAATATCTAGAATACATAAAGAACTAGAAAAAGAATCAGAACTCTAGAAATAAAAGACTTCATAAAAATAGGCAATTGAAATGAACAGACACTTCTCAAAAGAAGTACAAATGGCCAATAAATACATGAAAAATGTTCTGCATATTTGGCCATTTAGGGAAATGCAAATCAAAGCAACACAGATTCTATCTTACACCAGAAAGAAAGGTTATTATCATGAGCTGCAAAAGAGAAAGTTGTAGGAAAAAAGGAGCTCTTCTACAATCTTAAGGAGAAATGTAATTTAATATAGCCTCTATGGAAATCAGTATGGAGATTTCTCAAAAAAATGAAAATAGAAATTCTATTTCACCTGATTATACCTCTTCTGGCTATCTTCCCCAAGGAATTAAAGACATTATATATAAACAGTGATACATTGATACCCCTGTTCATAGCAGCATAATTCACAGTAGCTAAATTATGGAAGCAGCCTATACACCCATCAACAGATAAATGAATAAAGAAAAGTGGTGCATCCCCACAATCGAGTACTATATAACTATAAAGAAGGGTAAATTTGAGTCATTTGTAGGAAAATGGGTGCACCTTGAGACCACAATATTTAGTGAAATAAATGAGACTCTGAAGGTTAAATATCACATGTTTCTCTTATATGAGAGATCCACAGTACAAATAATTTAAAGAGCAAAATAAAAGATAAATGATAGGAAGCAGAGGGATCTTTAAGGTTTTTTGTTTGTTTGTGACAGCTTATTAAATTATATTTATTAGCTGAATGACTTCAGACTCATTACCAGACCTTCTTCATCTGATAAACATAATAATAATAGCTACAATACATTGGAATGATTTAATGAGATGAAAGTACAGCGCTAGCTGGGGACATAGCTCAGTGCTACAGCAAACTGACCTGGCATGTGGAAGACCCTGGCTTCAATGTCCAGCATTGCACAAAGTAAATAACTCACTAAAGTGCTAAGTGCAGTTCTTGGTAGGCAACAAATACCTGCGCCAAGTGCACCATTATAGTGACTGTTATTACTGGAAACATACAGCATTGAGGGGGAGCAAGACTAGAGGCTGAAGACTGGGTGCTCAGCTAGGAGTGAGGCAATCACTAGGCATGGTGGTGTGTACATATGATCCCAGCACTCAGGAGCCACGACAAGAAGATAACCACAGATTTGAGACCAGTCTGGGGTACATAGTGAGTTCAAAGCCAGCCTAGACTAGATAATGTGATCCTGTCTAAAAAAATAAGTAAAATGTTAGATTAGAGTTTTAGAAAAATGTTTTTAAGCCTCAGATATCAAGTAATAACTTTAGACCATGGGGAAGCAGAACTGATGGCCGAGAGACCACTGGTTGGTAATACAAGCATGCAACCAAGGGGACAGAACTAAAGGAATAGTGGGGCAGAGATGGGAAGAATTGGACTCAGCCCGGTGGTGAAGGAAGAATTAGTAGCAGAACTTAGAGCTACTTAAACTTACTAATCATATCCAAACTACTACGGACAAGATATCAATTATCTCTCTCAACTTGACCTGCCTGTGCTCCTACTCACTGCCCTCTGATCTTGCTCTCCCTTGCTTCAAACCTTTTCTGGCTCCCCAGACCTTTGCTGTCAGAGCCAAATTCCCCATCACATCTTTCTGGACCTGTAGTGATCTGTGTCTATTATCCTGCCGCTTTCAGAACACACCTCCTCCTTCTCCACTACAATCTGCTCTCCTGAAACCAGGCCTTGTTTGTTCATCCCAGACCTTGCATAAGACAGAAAATAGGGGTGAAGGGTATAGCTCAGTGGTAGAGCACTTGCCTACCACACAAGAGGCCCTGAGTTCAATCCCCAATACTACACACACACAAAAATAAGGCAAAACAAAAAAGCTACTATCACTTGCCATCACATGTTCTTCCTCATGTTCTAGATCTCAGCTTTCCCCAAAACAAAACATACAAATCCTTATATTTCTTTAGTTTCTTATGGGTACATCCAACAGGGATATCATAGAGAACTATCATTGCCTGTCTCTCTACTACCCTGAAAGGCAGACAATCTCATTCCTTGTTCTTCTTTTATCTTCTGGCACAATTAGATATTAATTTTATTTTGTTTTGTTTTGAGTTTTTGAGACAGGATCTGACTATGTAGCTCAAGCTGGCCTGGATTTCTTGGTAATCCTATTGCCATACCCGCCCAACTCCTAGGATTACAGATGTGAGCTACCACACTCAGATAGATACTTAGTAAGTTCTGTTCAGCAAAAGAAAAAGCAAATAAATGAATAAATGAACCTACATTGTCTACCAATGTTTCATTTTTAAATTGTATGGTAACAGCTTCATTGAGGTACACTTAATGTACAGGATACTTCACACTTAAATTGCACAACTTGATGTTTTGGATATATGTGTGTGTGTGTGTGTGTGTGTGTGTGCATGTTTGTGAGCATAATTCATTCTTGAAACACACTTGCAATCCAAAACACTTGTGTATCAAAACAAATTTCCCAATAGAAAAATAATGGAAAGTCAGATGATTTGTTCCACAAATTCACATAAAAACTATTATGTCATAATATAATACAGAATAACAAAGAAAATTACAAAATATAAAGAAAAATAAATGAACCTTCACTTATCTTTGAAAACCTTTTGGTTGGTATGAGGAAGACAAGAGAGAGGAAGGTTATTGTGTAGGACAACATTTACTGTCACTAATAGAATCATGGTTATATATTGGCTCAATGGAATCTTTCTTTTTGTATACCTTTAAGAAGGAGCCTATCCAGTGATGCTTGCTTTTGCCCCCTTATGAATACTTCACAGAAATGTGACATTGCATTGTCATTAAACAGATTCATCATTCACACCTCTGCAACCTTATTTGTGTCCTGTTTTTTTTACAAAATTTTGCAGTATTTTCCACATTTTACATATCTCCCTGATTTCCTTTGCTTAGGAAAATGATGGAAATCATGAATGCCCAACACAGGAAAGAAATGGAATCCATAAAAAAGATTCAATCAG